AAGAACAGGCAGGCATCTGGGAGTTCTGCTTGAATCTAGGAAAAAGACTAGCAAGATAAGCAGTCTTGGTTTTAGCAGATACATGCCTCCCGAGAACCAGCTGAGACTAAGTGAGTAAGAATCTGCCCACCATTCATCAGACTGGAAAAATAGACATAGATTGAGCCAGATGCCATTTTCATAGGAAACAACATATCTCTCAAGGATGCTGAAGCTGGAATTGTCATAATAAGCCCCATTTTTGAGTAATTCTTGTTTTATTAATCACTGAGACACTTCATTCTCTAAAATCAAATATTATTGGAGACTTTGCTGTTGAAGATTATGTCGGCAAGAATAAAGCCCTCCACACTTGCCTGGAGGCTCTAAGTCACTTTGACACAGAAAAACAGCCTCAATTCCAAATCCAGGTGAAGAAGTTCAGGTAAGTGGTAACTGGACTCAACAGTCCGCATTCATCCTAACTTTGCTCTTTCCAAAGAAATGGGAGCCTGGGTCAACTTACAGTCCATATCCAATGTTGCTGTCTTTACCTGCATCCCTGCTTTGCTTTGACCCTTTCAAATACTGTTTTGTTTAATTATCATCTAATTTCTACCCTCTCCTCCAAACCTTTGTCTTTTCCTTTGCTGAGATGCCCCACTCTGTTGAACAATCTCCTTCACTGTATTAGGTAATAAGCCCACTTGTGTCAGACACTAGATTTGCTCCTGGCATTCCCAGGTGTGCTGGGTTAGGAAAATTCTAAGATACTTGCTAGAACAGAATGAGGAAGTAGGGCAGAAGCTCAGAAATTCACTCAAAGGGAATTTTCACCTGGGGACAAGATAAGAACTCACTTGTCAAAATCAGGATATTAGGATAAATCCAGGAGATTTTTTGCTTTGGTGCACCTTGAATGTGAGTCTGGCACAGCCTAAGTATCTCTTGCTTTTAATTGAGAGTGTTCTTAAGATGTGGAAATAGAGCTGGGAGGTCAAAAAAAAAAAAAAAGATTCAGTGAGGAAAGTACCATTAAGGTGGGAGCTGAGAACTAGTTGKTGGAGACTAAAATCCAAGAGCATGCAGAAGGACTAGGAATATAAGCCCAAGCACATTTTTCCCAGAGGAGAGTGTGTCTGGGTTCTTACATGGGGAGATGCTGGGAATTCTGGTCTGCTAAAAGCAACTGTCTCTTCCCCATAGAGATTTATTCAACTCTTTAAAAGGAAAAAGACTAGGGAGAAAATGAAGGAAAGAGGGGAAGATCCAATAGCAAAGCCCCAAATTCCCTTGGAAACAAGAGAGGTGTCCCATGCCAAAGATGTCAATCCTGTTTCTTGCTGGAGCTGAGTCTGTGCAAACTAAAGGAAAACATCGAGTCTAAGGTATCRGTGATCTTTAGACTTATACCATTTTTTCTGAATTACATGATTGTCCCATAGGAATTGATTTCCCTCATCACATCCCCCACCCTCTTTTTTAGCATTTGAATCCAAGATCCCTGTTTAGAATAGAGGTTGAGAACATTGTGTGGTTGACTTGCTTCATTCTCTAGAGGATTTGCTTCCAAGCAGCCGTGAATGTATCACTGTGAGAACACAATGATATTTTCATCCATGACTGAATAAAATACTATTCTGTTCCTTCTCCTTTTAGGGACAGGAAAATTGTTCTTGGTTATTTTGGTCTATGGCTTTTCAAAACTTCCATTACAAATCATAAAGCAAGTTTGACTTCTGGGAAATGCCACTCTAGTTAATAATTCAAAATGTATTAATGTGGTGAGGTATGTCTTCCTAAAGGTTATCTTTCTATATCAGAAATAGATTTTAAAATAACAACAGCAACAACAACAACAAAACCCTCTTATTATGTTTCTTGATTTGTGGTCTGATCAGGTGCAAAAGAACTTCCCAGGGACAACCTCTGAGAGCCAGTTGTAAGATCTGGCACCTTTAGTCATCCATGGAGTCAGAAAGCAAGCTTGAATTCCCAACAGTCCACCAGGACAATCACAAGGGCCTTTTGCGCAAGAGTGCAATGTGACTTTGGCTGTTTTACTACGGCCCAAATTAAATCCAGGATCCCATCCCACCACCATTCTTCCCTGCCCTCAACACATATAAAACACTTCCTTCCTTTATCCTTGCCTCCCTTTTTTCTTTCCTTACTTATTTCCTTCCTTCCTTCCTAAATCTCTTCAAAGGTAAAAAGAAACTTATAGATTTTTAAGGACAAACATGAATGTGGAAACATGAAATGACTGCTAGMAATAATGCTTTCCTAAACCAATGGCTTTCAAACTCATTTAACTACAAYCAAAAGCAAGGAAGACATTTTACATCATGTCCCAGTATCTGCATACTCTGACATATTTGTATATGTATAAAGAGATAGAAATCATCAAATTTCATAGCATACTACCTATGATGCACTGATTTTCTTTTTTTTTTCCTTTTATAAAATGTCATAACTCACTAAGTCGGTATAATGAGCTACTAAAGGATTGGCAACCAGCAGTTTAAAAAAATCTGCTGTGATGAGTGATATTAGGAGAAGGCCTATTAATCTTTATTCCAGAAAATAACTCAAGAATAATTTTTCCTAATAGCAGACCTCTTAGGCTTAGAGAATCTACTTTTGAGACATTCCTGTGGAAAGTGTTTGCTCCACTCCTSTCTCARAGGTCCAGAAGTCATTGCAGATGTAATTATATGAGAGAATCAGGATCACAGTGCCCCTTCATGATTTCTGACATCAGCCCTAAATCCTGAACATGTACTCTTTGGAAATACTTCTAAAGGTGAAGTCTTTACAGGAACTGGTTAGAAATTTATCTCAGACTCTTATCTCAGGTGATATCCACAGACTCTCTTGGGGCCAGAAGTGGCTTAGGAAATGATGGAACAGTAAACACAAATTAAATATCTTAGGACATTTCATAAAATGAAATAAAAYATAGCTGTGAAGAAAAATGAGGTTGACCTATGTACTCTGGACCAATATTCAGGGTAGGTTGCTCAGCTAAAAAGAGTGAGATGAGTACTTTGTATGTAGTAGACTTCCATATGTTTTTAAAAGGGAAGTATATGTGCTTTTATGTGAATGCAATATTTGTGGAAAGTTCTACAATATATTAGTAACAGAAATTGACACTAGGGAAGAGAAATAGAGGACTAGAAGTCTAAAATGATCAAGATCAAATTTTTATATTTTACATAGTATTTTAAAATTGTTATTTTGTATATATACATATGTTACTTTTCCAACCAAAGGTAGATAACTATTTAAAAACTGTGATATTATAAAACAGATTTTGTGATGTGGACACCAAATATTTGCAAATTCATTAGGGTGAAAAGAGTTTTCCTTATGAGCAATTGAATAAATAGATGTTTATTATAACACTAAAATTATCTCTTTCATTTACATATCTTGTACAGTTTACAAAGAGTTCCACATCCATTGTTGATTTAGGGCTCATGACAACCATTGAAATAAGTGTGACAGGTACTAGAAGCAGAACTTTACAAATAAAAACAAAACAAGCAAACAAAAAATTCTATAGTTTAACAGAATGAAAAACCTAGAGCATATTTTAAGGTAAAAGGTTTGGAGTCATTACATGGCTGTGATATAATAGAAATCTGACATTTTACAATATTAAGAGTCACAAAGTAGTTTACAAATAGCAGCATTTTTTAAGCTTTTAGCAATATTCCTTACAATTTTTAACTCTTAAAAACTCTTGCATAAAGGAGGAATGAGGCAGGAAAAAGAAACACTCTGAAACTGTTTGTGTAAAATGTGCCTAACATTAGAACATAAATTGTCAACTAAAGACTGGTTTAAAAAATTGCTGTTAGAGAAATTGCAACCATAACTTCACAATAGTTTTACCTTTAAATTAGAACAAATCTAAAATAATGGCCTAAGTGGAGAAAAAAAGAGAAATTACAAAGCATCATTACCAATTCTCGAAAAATACCCTCAAGTCATAGTGTTCTTTAGTTTCCCTGGGACAATCGGCATTTACACCTCCTGTCCCCATGTAATTATTCAAAGCACCCTTTTCATTTTCAAAACTACTCTAAGAATGGACGATAATTATATCTCCACCCTGTTAAAGATCACTCTCTATTTTCATTCATCTTTATGRTCCTTGTTTTCTAGGGTTTGGGCTTCATCTCAAAACTAATTATCTTTATACTTGCAAAAGCTGAATGACCTAAGCTCAGGTCTTAACTACATATGAGACTCTCTCAAATCAGAAAGAGAAGTTTTCCAAAATATTGCCCACCAGCAACTTTATTAAAGAGATTCACAGTGGAAAGGCAGTCTCAGGGTCTAGTCTGGAAGTTTTGGCATGTTGAAATTTAAAAGGGAAATGTGAGCCAGGTTTCACTTGGTGAGACTGATGTGAAGACAATTGAAAGTTTGTTCCCAAATCCTGGAAAGATTAAAGAGTTGCTATGATATTTTCTTCAGGTTGCAAATGTATATCTTCCATAGAACAAGCAAATCAATCAGTATTTGCATAGGATGTCACAGAACAGCATTTTTTTACTCCACAATAAGCAGACTCTCCATGACTGCTACAGGATTAAGGTAATGTCACAGGTTATGTGTAAGAAGAGTTTACTTACTACATCCTCTAAAGCAGCTGGCATTATAATTGAAGATATCATGTCTAAGTGATTGCTTGAGGTGTCTGTGTAAAATATTAAAGAACATTTTAATTATTCCTGTATGTTTACATTTATACTCTTAACAAAATATTTTCAGAACATGAATATCTTTTAACATGCATGTACCCGAGGTCATACATTCAGATTCTCTCTCTAAGGGAATTGGGACTGAATTACAAATCCAACAATTTGACTTGATTCCCCTAGTTGTTTCTATGGATGTTTACATACATTGTTTATTTATCTATTTTATTTTATTGGGAATCTATTTCCTATTGATTACTCATCAAATTTTCACACACAAAAAAAACTCATTGGATTTCCTTTGTTCTAATCATCACTGGTTGAGTGGTTACTATCACTGCCTTCACTGTCATTGTCACTGTCACTGTCACTGTCACTTCCATTATTGCCATTACCAGACTTGCTCTGGCTGTCACTGTCATCACTGCTGTCAGATTTGCTATCCCCACTGTCACTGCTGTCACTATCACTGCTGTCACTATCACTGCTGTCACTACTGTCACTGCTGTCACTGCTATCACTACTGTCACTGCTATCACTGCTGTCACTGCTATTGCTGCTATCGCTGCTGTCACTGCTGTCACTACTATCACTGCTATCACTGCTGTCACTGTTGTCACTGCTGTCGCTGCTGTCACTGCTGTCACTGCTGTCACTGCTATCACTACTATCACTGCTGTCACTGCTATCACTGCTGTCACTGCTGTCACTGCTGTCACTGCTGTCGCTGCTATCACTGCTGTCACTGCTGTCACTGCTGTCGCTGCTGTCACTGCTGTCACTACTATCACTGCTATCACTGCTGTCACTGCTGTCGCTGCTGTCACTGCTGTCGCTGCTGTCACTACTATCGCTGCTATCACTACTGTCACTGCTATCACTGCTGTTACTACTGTTACTGCTGTCACTACTGTCACTACTGTCGCTGCTATCGCTATCACTGCTATCACTGCTGCCACTACTGTCACTACTATGACTGTTTGATTTGCTATCACTGCTGTCACTACTATCTGATTTGCTGTCACTGTCACTGCTGTCACTGCTGTCTGATTTACTGTCACTGTCACTACTATCACTGCTGTCACTGCTATTGCTGCTGTCACTGCTGTCACTGCTGTCACTACTGTCACTACTATTGCTGTTGTCACTACTATCACTGCTATCGCTGCTGTCACTGCTGTCGCTGCTGTCACTACTATCACTGCTATCGCTGCTGTCACTGCTGTCACTGCTATCACTACTATCACTGCTATCATTACTATTGCTGCTGTCACTACTGTCACTGCTGTCACTGCTATCGCTGCTGTCACTGCTATCGCTACTATCACTGCTATCACTGCTGTCACTACTGTCACTGCTATCACTGCTATCACTACTATCACTNCTGCTGTCACTACTGTCACTGCTATCACTGCTATCACTACTATCACTGCTATCGCTGCTGTCACTGCTATCGCTACTATCACTGCTATCACTGCTATCACTGCTGTCACTACTATCACTGCTATCACTACTATTACTGCTATCACTGCTGTCACTGCTGTCGCTACTATCACTACTATCACTGCTGTCACTACTGTCACTGCTATCACTACTATCGCTGCTGTCACTGCTGTCACTGCTATCACTACTGTCACTGCTGTCACTGCTGTCACTGCTATCACTACTGTCACTGCTGTCACTGCTATCACTACTATCACTGCTGTCACTGCTGTCACTGCTCTCTGATTTGCTGTCACCACTGTCCTTGCTTTCTGATTTATCTTCACTGATTTCTGATTTATCTTCACTGCTTTCTGATTCATCATTGTCTTCACTCTCATTGTTACTATCATCACCGTGACTGTCACTATCATCAGTATCTGATGCACCATCACTGCCCTCATCATTGTCTTCTCCTTTTGAGTCACTGCCATTGCCATTATCATTTGATTCATCAGAGTTATAAGAAGCATCTCCTCCATTACTGCTGTCATTGTTGCCATCTGAATTAGCATCCTCGCTTCCATTAGACTCATCACTGCTGTTGGGGTCATCTCCTTGCATAGATTCATCATCAAAATCATAACTGTCATATCCATCACTATTGCTACCACTACCTGTTTTACTGTGCCTGGCTTTATTTCCAGGTTCTGATTTCTGGCCAGGTCCTTGTATGTTGTCAACCTCTCCTTGTGTTTTGGCATTTCCTGAGCTCACATTCATTCCATGTTGTCCTTCACTATCTTTACTTTCATTGATTTTCCCAGCTTCTTTGGTAATATTAGTTCTGTTGGTTTCTATTCCCTGTGGAACAATGAAGAAAAGAATGATTGATTAGTGAATATTTGCTGCAAAGTTGCATTGGTCTGAGGAGGACTGTATGATGCTTATGATTTTTGGATGCTTATGATTTTTGTGCTACCCTCAGAAGGTGCCAGGGAAGAATGAAACTTACATCAAAAGAAATTGGATTAAAAACTAACCTGAAGTTGGCTCTTCCCAATAGCACTTTGTTCTGGATGTCTGGTGATTCCATTTTCCACACCTTTGCTTTCTCTRTGGCTGGGTTTCTGGGTGTCCTCTATTCCTTGGCTACCATTGCCTTCTGGAATACCATCAGAGTCTTCTTCACTATTGGAGGTGTTGTCTCCACCAGTGCCATTATGGGAATCCTCTTTGTCTTCAGAGTCATCATCTTCACCACTAGTTGAATTCTGACCTATGCTRCTGTCATCTCCTTTGCCATGAGACTGACCCGTATGGCCCTTGCTGTTATCACTGCCCTTGTTTCCATTCCCTGGTTCTCCACCATCATTGTCACCAGAACCCATGTCATCATCCTCATCTGCACCATCTCCACTAGGACTCCCATCAGAATTATCCAAGCCAGCATCTTCTCCATTGCCTGGTGTTATCTCAACCTCCTTATCCCCATTTCCCTCACCTTCTCTTTGGGGTGTTACTGCACTTGTATCACCCTCATTCCCATTTATTTTATTGTCATGGTCTGTATTATTATTGCTTCCAACTACTTGAGGTCCATTTTCTTGGAAAACAGTAACACCCTCATTTTGGCTTGTGTCTCCATTATCCTTATTTGTTGTATTCTGATCAGCACTGCCATTAATATCACTCTCATTTACCGCTTCAGCATTGTCAGTGATGCCTACTTGTCCCCTGATGCCATTTGCTGTACTGTTATCTTCTTCTCCATGAATCGCATCATGACCATATGTTTCTGGTTTTCCTGTGACTCCATTTTCTTCCTCAATATTCCCCTCTTGGCTGGCTAAAACAGACTGTGTAAAACTCTTCCCTCCTACTTCTTTCCACTCAGAACCATTCCCTTTTCCTTCATAACCATCCTTGGTGTACTGTTGCCTTCCTAACTCATTTGCATGAAGGGATTCACCACTTTCTTTAGTGGTGTCATTGGCATTTAACTCATGCTGAAAAGGAGAAAAAATTCAAAATAAATTATAGGTCTCATCTTGAAGCAAAGCAACTGAAAAGAAGGGTGAAAAATTGTAGGAAGTTAATGAAATTCAAAAATATCTTAGAAATAGAAATAACGGGAAACACATTTCATATCCCATACCTGTACTGGCACTTTTTGTTTTGCTAGAAGATGTAAATTCACAGATTTTTCAACAGTGTGTCTCTCCAATGGCTTGATTTGAGGAAGCTGCCAAAATGAAAACACGGGATATTTAAAGAATCTTATTTTATGTATAGTACCTCAGTGAAAAGAGTGAAAATATAATACAAAGGTAAATAAATGATCTAAGAAAAAGAAGTAGCTTGTTGCTGGGCTTACGCACAATTTTTAATTTGGCATGTGGATATTTTTCTTTATGGTGTTACCAATTTTGTTAAATTATTAGCCAGACTACTTATCTTGACTGTAGAAAAACAAGGAGGTAGACCCTTTTTGTTTCTGAACAAGCCTCTTGCAGTAGCACAGAACCCACCCCAAGTATAATCCTGGGCAAATCTCCTAAGAGAATAGTGGGTGTGGTCAGAGTCAGTGCTGAACCAAAATCAAGTAGCTGATACTTCTGGGCTCTTCAAGAATATACTTAAAACACTTGGGGGAATTCTCAACTACAGAAATTCCAAAAAATGCTTGGTCTCATTAGAGCATATGAAAATGTTAAGCCTGAAATCTGGTTAATACAATTACAAATGGGTTATCATATAAAGTCTTTTTTAAAAAAAATTAATAAATGCTTTATTTTATATATAACATAAAATGTACCCTAAGAAAAACAGTWCTTAATTTTTATTAGAGTATTTTAGTTGTACATAGTAKTAGGGTTCATTTTTACATATTCATACATTTATGGGATAGAATTTGTTTCATTTCAATTCCCAGTACTTCCATTTTCCCTCTCTTTCTCTTTTACCCTATTCCCATTTCCCTATTCTATTGGTTTTCCTTCCTTTTATTTGTTTTAATTGGTGYTTGTGAATATACATAAAAACAGAATTCACTGTGGTATATATTCTTGTATCTACATAGCATAATTTGGTCAATTTCATTCCTCAGTTCTCTTTTCCCTCTCTCCTYCCTTCCCCTCAATCATCTTCCTCCACTCCACTGATCTCCCTTCTATTTTCATGGGATCCTTTCTTCCCCCATATGCCCACCCTTATTTTGGTGTAGCTTTTGTAGGTGAGAGAAAACATACAACCCTGACTTTCTGAGTCTGGCTTAGTTCACTTTCATGATCTCCATATCCATCCATTTACCAGCAAATGCATGATTTTATTGTTCTTTATAGCTGAGTAAAACTCCATGTGTAATGCAAATCTCAATGTTTGAACTCCATTTAACTGCAAAACTTTAGGTATGTTTTGTTTGACTAAAAGATTTAGCAAAGCAAGGAAGTTTTCCGAGGAAGAAAAACTTACTGGAATGGCCCATGCTGCTGCCCAAATGCAAATAAATATAATTATCTTCATTGTCCTTAGGAATAATAATCAATGGCTGTTTAAAAAAAAGAACAGCACAAAATCACTTATAAAGCAAAAGATAATAGCTACAGTAATATATTATTTTGATCTGCAACATTTGCCCTTTTCCCTGGGAAAGGAGTACATATCCAACATGAGATTCATGATATTGCAGAATATACCTGGTATGTTTATGGAGCCTATGTCAGGTGTCATCAAGCTCAGCACTGATGTAGCTTCTGAGGCTTTTTCTGCCTGCGCCAATAAAGGACAACATCCATGGATAGAGAGAGGGCATAGCCATAATTTTGCCCTTCCACTGTTCTTAATGGTAGTGAGCATGCACTCTCTCTCATTCATTCTCTCTCTCTCTCTCTCTCTCTCTCTCTCTCTCTCTCTCCTGAATAGATTTAATCAAGTGTTAACTAACTCTGCTAATATTGTGCTTTAAAGAGGAAGCATTTGTAATCCCCACCCTAAATCTCTAGAATTGTGTTATACCAGACGACAGGAGAAAGAAATGATTGACTTGAGGGAGCTCAGTTAGTGGAAAGAACATGGAGTTTGAATTCTGAGACCTAGTTCAAATTTTACCTCTACTAGTGGCTGTGTGAGCTTGAGGCAGTTAAGAAGCTTTATTAAGTCTTCAGTTCCTCTGTCTGGGATAGTGATGATACTACACCTCAGGAGTATAACCGGGTTAGCAAAGGATTGTCTCTGAGAAGACTTCTCTGACTCCATTTCAAAGAGAATTTGTGTAACTTTTTACACCCAGTGGTTTCCGTATACCTCACCCACAACACACTACACAATTCTAAAATTGCCAGGTTATTTCTATTTTCCTCTGTGCTACTATAAGCTCCTAAGGTCAAGGAGTGTCTTGGTGATGGTTGTCTTCCAAAACAAAGTACACTGAAAGGCATCTTATCAGTGTTGCTAATGAATAAATACTTAGTGTTAACAATRCTTAGCACGGTTCCAGGCATTTTGCAACCTCCTAATAAAAGACAGGAATTGTTACATGGGACTTCTAAAAGAAGTCAGAATTCAAATTCAGAAATGGMCTAACACAAATTTTTATACATTTAAACAGACATTGTATAATGCATGTGAATCAAAAATGTAAGTTTCTATTTATGAAAAGTTGGATTTCTTGATATATGATACTATGTTTATTAAAAGGAAAGGATTTATTTTTCCTTCTGTTTCATGAACTCTCACTGGCTTTAAAGATTGTAATGTTGTATGTTATAAAAACAATGTAATTTAATGGTAGYAGTGGAAATATAATAAAACTTCAACAAATATGATAAGAAGAATTATTGTAATTTCCTCACAGGAGAAAAGACAAAGTTTTAGACCTACTGACATAACACATGCTTCATTCTTATAGTTGCTCATCAGAGAGTCAAGAATAGCTAAACCTCCTTCAGAAATGCTATGGACTGAGGCTGAGGTGACCCCAGGACAAGTGAAATACAGGGTTGTAGGGTGGAAATACTGGGAGCTAGCTGTTTAGTTGGCAAGGGTTATGCTGTCCTTTGCAGTCCCAAACCTAATTATTACACAGACTCTGCAGGAGACCAGTCTACRCCAGGACTTGGAGGAGCCACTGTGTTCCGGAAAGGTACTTATGACAAAGGGAGGTRTTGTATGCACCTCCTTTCTAAACTGCAGTCCAACAATTCCACCACGTAAACTCTCTWTGAGCTCTGCTCCAGAGGATGACACAGTGATTCTTGTCACTATTTGACAAAGCAGGTAAATGACTTCAAAGTCTGCTATAGAAATAGGCTAAGTATCATCTGCCTGAAGCTGAGGTTTCAGCACTATGAAGCCTCCTTCAAATTATTGAGTTTAGTGTTACATGTGAAATGAGATTTAGCAATTAGCCAATTAATTTGGTCAAGTAAGTAAGAAAATAATGTTTGAAAGCCTAGTGAAGATTTCTAAAACTTGAGTTATCTGATATTTTATTAAAACCAATCAAAGTGACCCAATAATTATCAAATTTCCACCTCAGTTTTTGCCAATTTTTCAGTAACATCTTTTTTTTTTCTCAACCTGTAGAAATTCTTGAAATAGAAAATGTGTGTGACAGAAGTCAAATCTCTAGATATCCTAAGTCAAAGTGCTTCAATCTTGCTTTTCAAACATCAAATTTWWAAAAAWAATAATAATAATTTCCCAGGCCAAAATTCAATTTTACAGGGGCAAGATATTAAAGGTAAACTGGGGTTTACTTATGTAGTCGGACAACAAACTTCTGAAGACCCAATACAGGACAGACACTGAGCTCTGGATGAGCCCTTCATGTGTGGCTCAGCCAGACTGAAATACATGTAGCATAATGTGTTAAATCAAATTCCCCAGTACATGTTTATTTCTTTGTAAAAGTCAGTGTATTAATGTTACTATTGTTAGTGTTTTAAAAGAAGCAGAGATTGCGTCGTTCCTTTTTTTCATGAAATCCTATTACATCTTACATTGCATTACGGAGAATGAAAAATGACTGACTAGACTTAGATTCTTGAAATTGATTCTTTTTTTGGATAAAAATAACAGTAATGGAACCTTAGTGAAATATGCACAAAACATTCTAATCACTTTGTTTTAGTATTTTGGGTTTTAAACATGTACTGCACCTGATGTTCACTTTTTCTGATAAGCAACTTATATTTTAACAACATACTGACTGTACAGAAAAAAAGTCCTATTTTTCAGTGATGTGATATCTTATTGGATGGAATTAACATCCCTTACCACAAAATTTTCTATTGTCTTTTAATATATATACTCAATATGACATGTAAAAAAAATGGAAGGAAAATCTAATCAAAAAAGGATTTTTCACTTCTTACAATCTAGTTTTCTTCACTGAAATTCATAGTTCTTTCTAGAAAAAAAGAACTTTTTACTTATGTAGTTGGTTCTGAGTAAAGAGGGCGTTCTGTCTTACCTTATGAGCCTTCAAAGGGACTTTGAAAATCCAGGTTTTCTTATYGTTCTCTTTGAAGACTGAGAGTGGCACGATGTCCTGGAATTTTTCATGACAATTTTGTACCTGCCGAAATTTAAACTCAGTTTGATAATTTTCTCAACCAATCACTGTTTAGGATCCCTGATATGGGGTTATAAAGTGTCACTGTGTCTATGAAGCACATAATAACTCCCTACTTCCTCATGGCTGATATGTATTTGTTCACTGAACCATTCACTTCCAATGGGGACTAGACTTACTTTCACTTAATTAAATAGTTCCTGGAAGGCTGTTTCGCTTCTTAAATATAGAGAATCAGCGTGATATATCTGAAAAGAGCCACTTAAACTCTGTCACCCTGACATTTCTTGTCTTGCTAAGGTTGGCAATCTAAGAAAACTCCAGGTTTCTTTAGTAAATATGACTGCCTATTTAAGACCCCTATCATTCCTGAGGTACGCATTAAAGCTTCTGCGCTATAATTCAAAAAACTGTCCACATGCAACAGCCTTGACTTTGCCCAAGGGATCTTTAACAATCTATAAACAGTAACACTCATGAAACCTCTCTGATCTAATTTAAACAGACGAAGATGCATAAAGTTTAAAGTCTATCAATTTAGTATTCAAACTAAATTTTTAAAATAGATATTCTAAAGATTAAAACTTAGATGTCTTTCTTTTGGGGGGAGGTACTGAAGATTGAACTCAGGGGCACTCAACCACTGAGCCACATCCCCAGCCCTATTTTGTATTTTATTTAGATCTTGAAGTACAAATGTGCATACAAACAACAGACTCACCTTTCAGTAATTTCTTAGTTATCTGTCAGCTGTGCAGAACAAAGCAGAAAACAAGAATGTATTTTATCAAAAAATGTTGGTACCTGAACTTACCATTCTCTTGGATCCTGGGTGTACATTATAATGCAGGTGATTCCTAAATCATGTCTCCAATTTATGATTTCAAAATTTAACCATCTATGTCTCTCTGTATATTTGTTCAGAATTTTCAGGAATGCATTATGTTATGGAATTAAAGCTTGACCACTAATACTGTACCACTACCCAATAGTGTTATCTCCAGAATTTTACATGGAATTTTACATGGGAATAAATCCACACATACATATGTAATATTATAAATAAACATAGGTGGAGGCAGCTAGCGCAAGGCTGGGCAGCCCTGAGCCACGTATCATGTCCTGCACTGCCCAGACTCCTGAACAATACAGTCAGGATAGCTGAAGGTGACCCCAAGAAACAAAAGGCCAAGATGTCTGCTTCTTTGTGCAGACTGGCAGAGAAGAACATAAGAAGAAAAATCCAGAAGTCCCTGTCAGTTTTGCAAGATTTTCCAAGAAGTGCTCTGAGAAATGGAAGACAATGTCTGGGAAAGAAAAATCTAAATTTGATGAAATGGCAAAGGTAGATAAAGTATGCTTTGATTGAGAAATGAAGGATTATGGACCAGCTAAAGGARGCAAGAAAAAAGAGGACCATAAAGCTCCCAAAAGACCACTGTCTGGATTCTTCCTGTTCTGTTTAGAATTCTGCCCAAAGATCAAGTCCACAAATCCTGATATCTCCTCTTTTGGAGATGTGGCAAAAAAAAAAAAAAGCTGGATAAGTTGTGGAATAACTTAAGTGACAGCAAAAAAGCAGCCATACTTCCCTAAGGCTCAAAGCTGAAAGAGAAAAATATGAGAAGGATGTTGCTAACTGTAAGTCTAAAAGGAAGTTTGATGGCAAAAAGGGTCCTGCTAAAGTTGCCTAGAGAAAGGTGGAAGAGGAAGAAGAGGAAGTGGAAGAAGAGGAGGAGAAGGAGGATGAATTAACAACTGTTTATCCCCATCTTCTGGTGAATACTTTAGAGTAGGACAACACCATGATTGACACATCTTATTTGAGATGTGTCTGTGTTAGTTTCAGTTATAGAATTTGATCATGATCCTATTGTAATCTCTCTAAGTGCTCTAGAAATTCTCAGTGGTTTACATGAATTGGCCTGGGTGTCCAGAGCACCCTGAC